CAGAGAAGAAGGCCAGATCTCAACCAATCCAAGCCTCTCCAAATCTCTATAAATAGTTAGCCAATAGCAGTTAGAAAAATAACAGATTGGGTAGTTAGAATCAGTCCAAAGACTGTTTATTTAGTTAAGTTAGTTGGGTAGAAACAGGGTAATAGCAGGAGCAAAGAGAACAGACAGAATCTGCCCTGGTACCACTTTTCCCTTCTATCCTCTAACCTTTTGATTTTAATCATGACTGATCTTTTGTACTTTGTTGCTCTCATGTTTAACTCAATAAACAGTAGTAGCTAAACTCAGTTAAGGGTCTAATCCCTACTACCTATATGTGAAGGTTTTGATTCAGTTTCTTATATGAGGCATTGTTTTTATTTAAGTGTTTAAACTGACCTTTTAATTAAACTGGCCACTTAATTGATTGGGCATGCATAGTTATGGAGATTTGAGAGGGGGGACATAACTTTAGAACTGCTTAAATTAGTCTATGGCAGAGGAACTCAATGGCTTAAATTAATGAATTACTATGACTGAGAGGTAGGTAATTTAGCTAATCTGAGACTTTTTATTCTGTCTGAGAGAAATTGTAAAGAATATAAGTGTCTGATTAAACAATAAACCATATGCAACGAGAACTACAATGAATCAAAACTGGATCATAGATAGGAAAGTGATTAGCCCTTTCTGCTCTTCACTCTGTCAAGTGACTATTCTCACTCTCCCAAGTGACAAATCTGTTCAACTTATTTTCCTTTATTTGCACAATAATCAGATTTTAAGTGCTTAACTTCCGTCTCTGTGGAACGAATCTGCTTACCACTAGCTAATAATTTTAAGTAGGTATTTTTTTTTTGGAGTGTCAACGACTCATTCACCAGCTGTTTATCCTAAAATGTGTTAAAACATTAAATTATGTTTTACTATACAAAGAAAATAACATTACCATGAATTTTACATTATTATTTTTACAACTCATCAAACTTCTTAATAACTCGTATTTCATTTCCATAAATTCCATATTCTCCTCTAGATAATTACAACCAAGCTATATTTAATTTTAGTAGTGTCTTTTCTAAACTTAAAAACTTGATATCTTTTCATCTTATTTCATTATTGATGATTTGATGATAAAAATGTAGCCTCTCATCCAAGTTCTTCACATAAGAAGACTTTGTCGGTTCTTCATTCTTATGTTTGTCCAAATGACTATTCTTTTGAGATGAAGAGTTATCTACTTTAACTAATTAAGGAGGAGAAGATGGACATCGACTACCTTTGTGATATGGAATTAATTCAAGATAAGGTGAGTTGTGATCAAGTTGAAAAACAAGTCATTCACTTCGTGGATCAAACCGAAGGAGATGATGAAATTATGGAAATCAATGTTGAAGAATTCGAGCTGAGTGCAACTCAGCAAGAATCTTGTTGATCAAGAAAGTTTTTGGAGAAGTCATTTAGGTTCTTGAATGGACTATACAATTTGAGATAGGCTGCAGACTATCTTAATTGTTCCTTTTGAGTTATCGATCACTTTTAGATATATTGAGGAATCAAGTATTGGATTAACAAGTGTTAGTCTTATTCTATATCAGAGTCACATATATTGGAGTAGAGATCAAATTTCTTACAACAATAAGTGCGCGGGTGCAAATTCCAAGGTAGAAGGGCATCAAGGACTTTTTGCTTCTTTTAATATTTGGAGTTATTAACTTTTGGTAAAAGGCATAATCTTTACTTAGGAGTTATTTTCGAAAATATCTAGAGTGAATAGAGCCAAGTTTTGGTCAAGATTTGTTAGAGAGATTTGAGGGATCTTCTTTGATTTCTTTTGATCACATTCCTTCTTAAAAAAAGGATAAAACTTGATTTAGTTTGATTTGATAGATTTCCTAGAATAGATATAGAGTTAAGAGGTTTTTGACATTTTCTTTTCTTTTTAAGTGTTTAGCGACCAAGACTCCTAGCCTTTAAATAGAGGCCTGGTAGAGTGCCATTGATTGGTCACTTGTTTTCTTCTCTAGTGAGAGTCATCTTCTTTATGAAGTTTGTTGAATGGTGTGTGTCCATTTTTCGTTTGCAAGAGTGTTTTAATTATGAGGAATTAGTATCTTGTTCGGGGTCTTTTGAGATATTGTAGAAACCGTTCTTTTCAAGTATTCTTCTTGATTAAATCATTTTAAAAGTAATCTATGTTTGGTTGCATGTTGTCTTTGTGTTTCGAGAGGTGTGTCTTCTCTTTAACACGAGTTTTTTAATTTATGATGAGTGTTTATGAGTTCCTTTGTGGAGTTTATCTTTTAGAGATGAGTTTTATTTTGGGTTTAAGTAAATCGAATTTTATTTTTGTTGATTGCATATTGGTTCTTGATTATGAAGATTACTAACTCAATAGTATGTATCTACAGATAAGTATTAGTTGCTTCTACATATTTTGAGTTTCTTGATGAGTGATTGTTCGAGTTTATTGAATAGCATCCTTACAATTTTGTGGGTTGTTATTTTTTTTGTTTTTGGGTAACGCCTGGAACCCCACTAGAGATGGTAAACCCACATCGACTGCAATAGCCTGCAAATCACAGTGGGAGGTAAACCACCCAAGGCAAGCCCTGTGTGACAAGCTCGGGTGCAAAATCAGGGGTTCATTAGTGGGTTAGCCATAACAAACCCCTAGAGGTGCCAATAGACTAAGTGAGAGTTAGCTCCTCACTTTTTGATAGAGTGGGGGATTGAACTCATGACCTTCTCTTGGAGCAAGGATGATTTTACCACTGAATCAATTCCTCATTCGCGTGAGTTGAGTTGTTATTTAATTCGAATCTTTTATAGATTATATATTCTTTACTTGGTTTGAGTTAAAGAGATGAAAACCCTAAAACGATCATCTTATTGGCAATTTTTCCGAATTCTTTTGAATTTCACGAGATAGACAACTTATCTTCGTACTTTCTTGTAAGGTGATTGTATTAAAGAAATTTGTTTTATCTGCGAGATTGCTATCAATTAGTTCACTTAAAAAATTATTAATTCTTTCTGTCTTACAATCTTCTCATCTTCTTTGTCATTTTTGAAAGGTGTTAAAATGTAATCCGGTCATTATCTTCAAATATTCAATATGACTTGTATAGATAATTGATTTGATTTGATATATTTAGTAATCAATGTTTCGAGTCTATATTCTTTATGTAAATTCACATTTGTATCAATTGAATAAACACACAATTTAGAGGTATATTGAGTATAATGAATATATTAGTGCATAAATTTATTTACTCATACAATTGGATAAAAATTGTTATCTTTGAAAGCACGTGTTCATTAGTGCATAAATTTATTTACCCATACAATTTGATAAAAATTGTATCTTTGAAAGCACGTGTTCAAAATGCATCTGATTGAAAACACATGCTAATGGTTTATAGGCGATAAAAAAAAAATAAAAGAGAAGATTTGAAAAGAGATTGAGAAGATATATATATATATATATATATATATATAAAAATAAAAGAAAAATAATTGGAAAAGAAAAGGTGACCTTGTAATATAAGTTTGTGTATTTATAATTATTTCATATAGAAAAATAAGAAAAATAAGGGGTGATGTTTAAAATGAAAAAGAAATTAATACTCCCTCTGTCCCAAAATTATTTTTCAGTTTGATATTTCACTTTTAGTACAATTTAAACTAAAAATGAAAATCTAAACTGGACAATAATTATGAGACGGAGAGAGTATATTTTTTGTTAAGAGTGTATTTAAATGAAAATACATAAATAAATTGAGAAATATCATTTCGATGCATATCCAAAATAAAGACAAAAATCGGCCAAAAAATTAAAGAAAATGAATACTTTTTATATTTTTTAAACTAGACCATTTGTCATTAAGTTAAAGATTTTTTCCATCCAAATGATCAAATTGACGATAAAACTCATACCTTTAGAAGAAATCGACAAGTAGATTAGATATTTGGATTGAATCGACAAACATAGCAAACGTTTAGACTAAAATGACACTTTTTCTCTTAACAACTAACGTACTGTTAAATTCCCCAACCATGATTCTTCCTTTTGGCTGTCAACTTTCGCCATTATTCTATACATCCACTAATCACCTTTAAGTAAAAAAGGAATAAGAAGAACACCTAATTCAGCTCTTGTTATTATTGAACAAAATCCTCCTAAATTGATTATCACAAAACCTATATTAATTAATCTCGCAACAGCCCACCTCGTACTTATCTGCATAAGGAGGCGCCTGAGTTGATTTCATCCAGCCAACAGGAGGCGGCGGCGGCGGCGGCGGCTTACATCGTTTTTGTTTACTAGTCAAGTTTGAATCAAAGGCTTCGAACAAGTCATGGAGTAATAGACATCCAAAATAAATTTACATTTGTATCTTACAACAAGATCAGAACAAATACAATAATAAATTCCAGTACTTACTGGGAAAAGTATAAAGAACCCGGAATATTGTGGAAGGAATTGGGGGTTGGCTTCAAAAAAATAGTGAATACTGAATAGTCAGTCCACAGTAGTTCTGAAAAAAAAAAAAAAGTCCCCAGTCCAACGCAGAAAATGTTAAATAATGCTGAATTTCATTCAACCACATTAATTTAATGTGATTCAAATATTGTGCTCGGCATGATTATACTCTATTTCCAAAAGTTCACGACTTAACGAAGGCCAAGTAGTGTTACCTTAAAGTATATTTTATTTTTGATTTGAAGAAAATAATTTTGTCAAACAAAATAAACTAAAATAAAATTGAAAGGGACCGTGTGGATTTCTTCTTATCAGGCCTAATTGTATCTTACTTTTGATTAGATTCATGTATCCCCTGAAAAGACTTTTATGAAATGGAAGAAAACATCAATGCAGAAAACATCGTTTTATAGCTAATCAAATGTTTAGCACAGGGATAAAGCGTTATTTCTAATCCACGCACCAACAGCATAATGTCCAAGAATGGGAGGTATTGTAGTATCGAAATTTGTAGTATGAGGGACGCATGGAATCTTCCCGTGCTGATCATCATCTCCATCGATTCCTGCCGTGCCTAATACTTCCTCGTCATTCTGTTCCAAAATTACACTCCTTCTATCTCAAAAAAGAAAAAAAAAATAAATAAAATTTGATATTTACAAAATAATAAATTTTAAAATAACATCGCCGGAACTGCACCAGAGATCATAAATTTACTTTCAGTGCAATAGCGTATAAACTACAGATAGAGATAAACTTCTCTAAACAATTTTGGAGTGACAAATTGAGTTGACATCAAGGGATTATGTATGAGTTACAATGACAACTTCTTTAAAGATGTCAATTGGCAATGTTAAACCTATCTCTCATTCTTGTTAGGATGAAAGATTAAACTTATGTTCTTTTCTTGAAAATAAGAGTGATTATACCATTGAATCATTACATTTTATATGGACAGAAAATGCAAACCGAAGTATCATTATTTTGAATTGAGAAGAGAATAATGAACTTATTAATAAAGTGACATTGCATTTCTAGAAAGTTAAACACCTCCCTAGACCTTAGTCCCTTAGTCGTTCATGAACCTTTTAGCTTTGACTTTATCTCCAAGTCTCCAACCGTTAATCAAAATTCATGTTATAGGCTTATAGCATGAGTCCAAAGTGTCCAACTGCAAGATGAACAGAGTAGCCAGTAGACCATTCCACAAAAAGGCAAGCCCAATCGTACATGATATAATACTCCTACTCTGAGAAAGCCCGTAGCATATTCAACCCGGGATTCTTCTCCTTCCATTCATTGATTGTATCGTCCTAGTCCTACAATGGAGCAGCAGCAGAACCGAACAGTATGCGTTACAGGAGCCGGAGGATTCGTAGCATCCTGGCTTGTGAAGCTCCTCCTCTCCAATAATTACACTGTCGTTGGCACCGTCCGGGACCCAGGTAGAAATCAAATCAGTCGGTCCAATTCCTTTTTTTTTTTTTACAGGTTATGATGAACTGGGTTTTTTTTTTTTTTTGTGTGTGTGGAAAAGATCGAACCTTTATTCTAGAGTTATTGTGTTTGCGATTATTTTGTGTTGAAGTGTTTGTGTGAGTTTTTATTTCTGTTCTTGTGAATTTCTGGCAGAGAATGAGAAATACGCCCATTTAAAGAAACTTGGCCATAAGAAGCTCAAATTGGTGAAGGCCGATTTGGTGGATTACCAATCAATTTGCTCTGCTATCAATGGCTGCCATGGTGTATTTCATGTAGCCTCCCCTGTTCCCTCAACCTCCGTTCCCAATCCTCAGGCAAGTCTTCCCACCCACAATGTATGGGTTTTCTTTTTTTTTGTTTTTTTTTCCCCGTTTTGGTAACAGGCCGTAGTATTTATTAGGTAGTTGTGGATGAATGAATAGAAACACTGCCACTTAATTGCTTAAAAAATCATTTTATGAGGGTCCATAGGTCAGCTTGATCAATTGAATAAGTAAAGGTTGTTTCACCAGCTTTATTTTATGCTTACAGAGGTTCCATTTGTCGAAAGCCGCCCTTTCATTTTGCAATTTTGCATTTGCCAGAGTAAATATTAATTAAGAATGTAAAAGGTGGTGCAAGTTCATGTTTTGCCGGTGAAAATTGTATCAATGATGTAAAATGCATAATTTTTAAGAATCAATTTAACTAAAGGGTTTTAAATTAAGTGGATTGCTGCAGGTAGATTTGATTGAGCCAGCTGTTAATGGTACTCTTAATGTACTAAAAGCCTGCAGTGAAGCAAAAGTTAAGCGTGTCGTGGTAGTTTCTTCTGTTGCCGCGGTTTCAATGAACCCTAGTTGGCCAGAAGGTCAAGTCATGGATGAAAATTGTTGGTCAGATGCGGAGTATTGCAAGACCACAAATGTAAGCATGACATTTCTACATTTTGTGGTATCAACTGTTGCATAGTATTAAGATATTCTTAAACTCTATGCTGATTAGCTCCTGCACCAAATATCCTCATTTGTAGTGTCTTTATTTGTGCAGAATTGGTATTGTTACTCCAAGACAGTGGCTGAAACTGAGGCTTTGGAATATGCCAAAGCCTCCGGGATCAACATTATCACGCTGCTACCAACACTTGTCTTGGGGCCTATGCTTCAGCAAGCTACTAATGCTAGCAGCCTCATTCTTATAAAGCTGATGAAAGGTCAATATCACTAACTTTAATCTTGTGATCTGTTCTTTTTATTCGCCATAGTTCCCTTGTGTGAATGCAGTTGATTGCAAGGGTTCTCTATTCATTTGTCATTTTGGCGTACTTTTCTTTGCCTCTACTTGACCTTGTACTGTCACCCTCTACTTGACCTTGTACTGTCACACTCTGAACTCAGATAATTTATAATCTTTTTAACCTTGGTTTTGAACAAACAATTGTTTCTGAGTATGATCACCATATTTGTGCTCTGCAGAAGGACACGAAGAAATAGAGAACAGGCCCCGAACAATTGTTGATGTACGTGATGTGGCAGAAGCACTACTCTTAGTATACGAGAAAACTGAAGCTGAAGGGAGATACATATGCTCATCTCATGAGTCCTCAACCAGAGAATTGGTGGAAATCCTAAGGAAACACTATCCTAACTATAAATATCCTAACAGGTAGAACTCTTTTTCATTTATTAGTCGTCTTGTCTAATTAGTGAAGGAAGAATTTGAGTTCCAATCACTTGCAAGAATGGGATGATATTGTTTTTGGCATGCATAACAATCAACACACAACTAAGTAATTCATTATTTGAAAAAGGGTTTTGTTTGGATTGAATGAATCTTGCAGATTTACGGAGGTGAAGCAGGGGAGGGTCTTGAGTTCTGAGAAATTGCAGAGGCTGGGATGGAGATATAGGTCCCTAGAGGAAACAATTGTAGACTCTGTTGCAAGTTACATACAAGGGGGGCTACTGCCAGACAACAAGTGAAAACCGCTCAGTCTCCTTAGCCCCAACTCCCCAGGCAAGCTATGATTTTGTTGTATTCACTATCCCACAAAAAACTAATCAACACCAAATTTTGTGAGTTCAGGTAAAAACAGTATAATTAGTAAATTGTGATACCCTTTCTAGTCCAAAATAATTGTCTAGCTTAAATTATTATTGTTAGCACGAACTGTGCTGACTGAAACAGGATAATTATTTTGGACAATAGGGAGTATGAACTATCTTTTCCTCGACATGTGCATCATAAGTTTCTTCGGATTAAACATTGTTTCTGGCATTAACCTTTCTGTACTATGCGTAAACAAATGTTCGATCTGTTCGACCTAAAACCTCATCAACTAATTAAAGCAAAATCTTCGATCTAAAACCTCAACTAATTAACGGGAAATAGCGAAGGTGATCCGAGTGAAGCTGTCCTCTACTAATCATGCGAGTCCCAACAATAAAGCATAAAGGAATTGATGGCTGGAGAGAATGGAGTATCGAAGTATCAATGTTGTCAAGAAAGCGAAGTTTTCAGTTGATTGTTTGCTGAATTGCTGTGCAAGTTTGAGTCAATCCAATTGGGCACGTTTTCCTGCTTATTCATTATTGCATAAGCCTCTTTATATCAATCTATGCTCCTTTTGCTTGTAAGATTGTGGTTTGAAGTTTGAGCATGATTTAGTAAGCAAGTGTTAATTATTTACTGTCTATAATCATAGATTATGCCCAGAGGACTGAAAATCCTCGTGTCACCAGTTCAAATCTGGTTCCTGGCATGGCACACGATTCATTTGCATGGTTTTCTCTTCTCTTTTCTAGAAATAGAGAAATTCATTTTGAATTCACATTCCTATGCATTTAGAGCTTCGATCACAATAATACTTTTATCCACTGTGTGAAGATATACCCACCCTGGGAGGCTACTAAACGCCTTAATTTTTTCATTTAAACGCCCTAAAAAAATCTCAAAAAGACTATTTTACCCCTGAATTCATATTTTTTTTTAAAAAAAATAGGGTGTAGGCGATGGAGAAGGCTGGCGCAGAAGAAATGCGCCACCCTTTAAGGGTGGCGCACAATTTTCTCGCCTCCCAATTAAGGGAGGCGAGAGGAAACTTTACCCCCAAAATGGGGGTGGCGCAAAAATCTGGCGCCACCCCCTTCGGTTTGGCGAGCGTTTTGCTCGCCAAACTGAATTTACTTTTTTTTTTCTTTTTTTAATTTATTTAATTAATTAATTATTTTATTTATTTATTTATTTAAGTTTATTTTTTAATTATCTATTTGGAAGTTAAAAAATATGAACAAATAAATAAAATTATTTTATATTTTTTCCATACTTTTTAATTTTTCGTTTCAACGTATTTTAAATTTTATATTTTTTTCCAAAAAAATATTCCCAGGACGGCTAGATGCACCGATGATGAATAATTAATTTGTTTGATAGTAAATTCATAAATTTTAGTTTTTATTAAATGATAATTTTTTGTTTACGTTTAAAAAATTTTGCATAACTAAATGATAAATTTTTATAAAAATTTACTACATAATTAAGCAACATTCTCTAAATATTTAAGTTAAAATTATTTGTTTAACCACCAAACAAATAAATAAAATTTAATAAATAAATAAATTAAGAACATACATGAATTAAATAAATTAAATAAATACATGAATTAAATAAATTCATTAAACTAATAATTAAAATAAATAAAAGAAATTATTTAAATATATTAAAAATAGTTAAATTAAAGATAATTAAATAAATAAAATAAAAATAAAAAAAAGTAATTAAGGTGGGTGGCGCACAAAATGGCGCCACCCACCCTTTGGTTGGCGAGCAAAAAAGCTCGCCAACCAGCACAAATGTGGCGCCCAGAACCTTCGCCATGCGGCGAAGGTTTTCTCGCCACCCCTGAAGGGGGTGGTTCATTTCTCCCTCGCCATACATTTTTTTTTTTTACAAACCAACTTTATTTTGGAGGGGCGTGTACGTCTTTTTCGGGCGTTCAAATGAAAAAAATTAGGGCGCTCAACAACACGACCCTTTCATTACACCCAAAAAAAAAAAAAAAAAAAAAAAACACAACAAGAAGAAGAAGAAGAAAAAAGAGGAAAAACTCTTTGTATCAATCTCCTTCACTTTGTCTCAATACTTTCAATTGCCAATTGTCAAAGCAAGGCAATGGAACCTTCCTTTGTCTCAATGGAAGACTTTAAGTTGCCAAAAGTCAACTTCAGCAAAAATCGTATCATATTCATACCGCGTAAAAGGTACTCTGTTTTTCATTGACCAGTAGAACCATGAATAATTAAGAGATGAATCATATCACCGCTGATTAACTAATTCCAAGTTCTTTCTAACAGTTAGCATCTCAGAACCGAGAAGCTAATCACACCCAAGAAATTTCTTTTTTGTTATCGATACTGAAGGGAAGGGAAAATAAAAAATCAGTATAGGAATGGCGGATCAAGTTCTAAGTGTTCTGTTATTCGTATCAGATCGGATGTTAAACTTTCTGAGTGAAGAAGGAAGACCCTTTGGTGGGCTTCGACAAGAGATCCAACTGATCAGTTATGAATTCGGTCATATGAAAGCTTTCCTGCAGAAAGTAGCCGAATCCAAACACGATTATGATGATTCCCAGTTGAGAGAATGGATCAGACAAGTGCGGGATTCTGCTTATGACACCGAAGACGTTATCGATGAATTCATGATTCTCTTCGCTGCTCCCCAGCGCCTACTTGGATTCCGTGGCTCTGTTCTTCGGAATATCAACTCCATAACAAATTTCCGGGGTCGTCATCAACTTGCTAACAAATTGCAAAGCCTCAGGGGTCGAATTAAAAACATTTCTGAAGCTCGTCTTAGGTATGAATCTCATTATGAGAGAATTATACCTCAAATCCCCAGGCGTGCATGGAGGGATAGTAAAGATGATGATGCACTTCTCGCAGGAGAAGCCCAATTGGTAGGAATCGATGAATCCAAGAAACACCTCATTTCTGAGGTTCTTGAAGGTGGTTCTCAATTAAAAGTTATTGCGGTGCTTGGAATGGGTGGATTAGGGAAAACCACACTAGTAAAACAGGTCCATGATGATGCAACAGTGAAAAACAATTTCCAGATCCGGGCTTGGATGACAGTTTCTCAGACTTGCGATCTCGAGAAGCTCCTCAAAAGCTTGATCCGCCAATTGTACAGTGCTTTCAATGAACCAGTCATGCCAGGGATGGACTCAATGGGTATCTATGAGTTGAAAGTGGTTATAAGAGTTTTCCTCCAACGAGCAAGGTATGAAATTGTGTTTGATGATATGTGGGACAGAGAATTCTGGGATGCACTTAAGTTTGTGCTTCCAGAAAATAGATTTGGTGGCAATTGTGTCATACTGACGACTCGAATTTCTGAAGTAGCGTTTGCTGCTTGCAATGTAGGTAAAGGATACGTTTACAGAATGAAGCACTTGACATTTGAAGACTCATGGAGTCTGTTCTGCCGTGAAACATTCAAACAAAACCTCTGTCCTTCTCATTTAGAGAATGTTGCAGAAGCTATAGTGGGCAAGTGTGAAGGCTTGCCGCTGGCAATTGTTGCGATTAGTGGGCTTTTGGCTACAAAAGATTGTAGTAGGATAGAGGAATGGGAGCGGGTTCGAAACAAGCTCCGGGATGATGAACTCGAGGGCACCGGAAGGTTGGAGAGAGCTAAGAAGATACTTCGTTTGAGTTATGATGATTTACCTCCAACTCTGAAGACTTGTCTGCTGTACACTAGCATCTACCCTGAAGATCACGAAATACTATGTTCCCGTCTGATCCGATTGTGGGTTGCCGAAAGATTTGTGGAAGCGAGATCAGGACTGGCTGCCGAGGAAGTTGCTTGGGATTATGTCCAAGAACTTGCTAACAGGAGCTTAATACAGGTGAGTGGTTTAAACTATCGTGGATATCCTTTTGTTATTCATATCCATTATCTTCTACGAGAAGTTCTTGTGTCCGAATCAGTTGAACAAAATATGATGACAATAGTTGGTAATTCTCAGATGACAACGTCATCTGCCATGGTGGTACGGCGTCTAGTATTCCACAACAGTCCCATTGATGACACCATATCAGAAAGGCATCATCACTTTAGCAATCTTCGATCTTTAATCGCCTTAGGATGCAAAGAACCACCATCCAATGCCTTGCTTACTGAGCTAATCATGTCCAATAAGTTCTTAAAGGTACTTAATTTGCACGGTGTTCCTATGGAAGAAATCCCGAAATCCATTTTTGACTTATTTCACCTGAATCATTTAAGCCTCGCTTACACAAAAATCAAAATAGTCCCACAGTCCATAAAGAAGTTAAGAAATCTGGAGTGTTTGGATCTCAAGAACACCAATGTGAAGACATTACCGATGGAAATTCTGAAGCTACAGAAGCTGCATCATCTTTTTGTGATTCAACATGTTGATTTCTCCAATAGAGATCTAGGATGTTATGGATTTATTCCTCCAAGTAACATGGGAAAGCTTACTGAGCTACAAACACTAGAAAGAGTAGATGCATCCGAGAATGATAAGACAAGAATATTGAGTGAGATTGGAAAGCTGGTTCGATTGAGATCATTAGGAATTACTGATATAAGACCAAAAGATGGAAAGGAGCTCTGCTCATCTCTAGTGAACCTCACCAGTTTGCGAGCACTACGTCTTACTTCTTCAATTGAAGAGAAGGACAAGCTTTTGGATTTGGGCCATTGTTTCTCTCCCACATCTCTTCCATCTATCGGCCATCTTTCTTTGAGGGGCCGCTTAGAAAAGATGCCACCATGGATCAGAAATCTTGAAAGATTGAGAAGTATAAAGTTGACTTGGAGTTGTTTAAAGGATGGTCCACTAGAATCCCTTCAATATTTACCCAACTTGATCGAAGTCAGTCTTATTCAAGCTTATGAAGGAGAAAGTTTGTGTTTCAAGGCTGGAGGATTTCCAAAGCTCCAGAAGTTGCAGTTACAAAATATGAAAGGATTGATGTGGTTAAGAGTGGAGGAAGGTGCAATGCCTAAGATCAAACGACTAGTTCTCCAAGAACTTCCATTGCTAGAGGAGTTACCTTCTGGTTTTGAAAATCTCAGGCAGCTTGAAGAGCTGGAACTTTGGTCTGTGAGTTCTCACCTCACAATGAAGCTGGAGTCCGAGGCGTTCCAAGAATGTGAAGAATATGAACAAATCGCTCACATTCCTCGGGTCCTCCTTGGTTTCCGAAGAGATGGGAGATGGAGTTTGCGAGTACTGTCTCAGAAGAAGAGAGCAATAACCCGAGCTGCTCGGCAAACTTTCGATACTAATGATTCTGTTGCCGCCACACTCGTATGTGACTCTGCTATCTGCTCTGCTGCGCCTTCATTTTGGCCCCTCGGTTTCCATCTCTTGCTTTTGGTTTGCTTCTTCCTCTTTCTCTGCATTTTCATCAGAAAGATTTGTATGATTTAGTATGTCCTTTCCTCCCAAAGGTGTATGAGTATTATGATAAGAATGTTTACTCCTCTTTAGTATGGAATATTATAACTAGATGCAATTTACTCCTCTTTTGTTAAATGTTTTGACTTTTGGAACGTTGTACCCCAAACCTTTAATATCTTCAGGGTAAGGGTGGTTTGTAGAATGTAAAATGGATGCTACTATGCAGGCATATCTTTGACTAACAGATAACACTTAACTTGATGGATGTTCAAAAGCTTTGTGTAAATATTCGCATCCATAGACATACTCCCAAATTGGAAGACGATGTTTTTCATGTTTCTTACCTAAAGAGTATTGTAATTTGCGTTCGTTTTAGGTTTGGAAAGAATGAATAAAACCCACTAGACAGAAACGATCACTTTTCAACTTTATTGTTTAATCTGTCAGAAGATGGACTCGTTTTCAAGGGTTAGTTTGGGATATGGCCAACAGGCCAAGTGATAGCTGAAGTTGATAGATGAAGATGGTCGAGAACAAGGATTTTGTTGGTATTCATGGTGGTCTAATTCGAGCTATATGTGAATTGAATACTAGAAATTGGTCTCTCCTGATTAATAATATATTCTGAAAGTTGAATTTTGCAACAGACTATATGACATATTTAGCTATCAGTTACTCGGGTTGTTTGTATTAGATGGATAATCTGTCATCTGAAGTGACACGTATTGGAACAAGAGATCGGAGCTTCCTGTCTGCAAAATGTCTTAATTTAATTCGCGCTAGACTCATTGTGAAAAATAAATACTCCTTTTGTCCCAACTTGCATGTGAGAGTCCTGATAATTAAATTTCCTTAATGAAACTTTTGGAATCTATAGTATCCCCTTTACTTACTTAAAGTAAACACTCGAGAACACTTGGCTCCACAGTCCATGTTTTTCCTCAAAAAGTCAAAAGTCCTTCACAAAAAAAATGGACACGTGGCTTCTTCAAGAGACAGAGAAATAGCATTTTTTTGTAAGTAAACAAGAGATTTTATTTATTTTCTGATTAATTATGACGATAAAATCCCTCAAAAACCTCTCGGATTTATGTCTGGTTATAATAAAACCACCATAATTTTAGCTCTAATGGTTATCAACTCTGAAACATGCATTAATTGCCCCCAATTTCAGCACTTCAAGCCGCTTAAAATTGCAGAAAAAAAAATATATTTGTAATATAATTATTATAAAAAAAATCGTGCAAAGTGTCGTTCCCCTTTCATTCAGAGGAACGGGTTCAATGAAATCCCTAATTTCTTGCTACTTCTCTACTCAAAATCACTTCTTGCTTATCTTTGATCCCATGCTTCAATTTCAAACACAAGGATCAAATATTTATCGCAATACACCGTTTTCCGACTCAGGTAGATCATGCACGATGGCTTAGTATTAATATAGTTATCTCCCTTATATTTCCTCTCTTAATGCAGGCTCTGGAGTTTCAAATAAGCCACTTTAAATTTTCTATTCCTTTTTCCGATCTGACCTCGACATCTAGCACCACTACGCCGCCTCAAGTTTCCTCTTGCCTGTTCTCTTAATTCGGGTCAGAGTGACAACACAAGAAACAAACATCAGCAATGAAGAAGATCCAGCCGACGTGAACAATCCTCAAAGTAGATCCGGCGACATCAACAACACTCAAAGTAGATCCCGCCGACACAGCAGCGTTAATGACGGATCGGCGACAGCTATGATTGAGACATCACCACAATAAGATTAGACCAGCGACCGAAAGATGGCTAGAGCAAAAGCAAAGGAAGAACAACAACCGGATGTGATAACGCCGCGAGCGTGAACAACTACAAATTCGAATAGCTACAGTCTCAGATATGAAGAAATTACAAATAGCAACAATCAATCGATAGCAGCCGGTGGCGGATGTTTGAAAATCAATTGATAACATAAGTAGATTTTAAATTCACAAGGTCAGATTTTTTTTTCGTTCTTTTCTATAATTATAATTGGAAGTTGTAATTTATGAAACTGAATTTGGTCCAAAAACACTGATTTTGATTAAAGATTGATGCATTTTCTTGATTCCCTGTGTTTCGTTTGATGTCTGGAACAGGTTTGTGGTGCCCAATTGAGATTCTTAGATTACTGCGGTAAAATTATTAATTACAAAGTTTTATGCTCTATTCGGCCAATGTGGATTTTACTATGTTGCCCCAAATCAATTCTAAACCCAATTATCCTTAGGAACAAGATATAACTATGCATATTGGTCTTTCATGTTTTTCTGGATGAAATTATAAATAATTTTTTGCCGCTCCCTTCAATCGTTAATCACGATGAGTATTTTCTAGGAGAGCACCGAGAACACAAAAGCAAATGAAATACTAAAGGAAAAAAATCTATTAGGTTAGGGGAGATATCAGCAAAACAATTCTTCATCCGTCAACACCATAGTCACCAGTTGTGACAACAAGTGAGGAGAGAGTGGAAAAAAAAAGTTCATAGCGGCGGCTCAAGGTTCATGTCTCCTATCTCACCCTCAGTTTCTCTGTCAGAGGTATTACTCCTGCTATAACTCTTTTGTGGTAATTGATGATTTTTTTTTCAGTTTTTTATCTTAATTTCCTAGACCATGTTAATGTAGGAATTTCGGCGGTTCATTGATTTTGAATCTTCCTTACTTTTGAAAATGTTTGCTATTTGGAACCGTTTTTTTGGTGGTTCAAGGGTTCTATTTGTTGTTTGCTTGCAAACGTTGGGATACTAAGATGTGCAATTTAAGTTGAGTTTTTCATTAGTCTAATATATTTTGTTTGATTTGTTTGTATTACTCTCAGTTGTACAAACTAGACAAGAGATATTTGATAGTGTATTTTAAACTACTACAGGCCAATAAATGATGAGTTTAGTTCTTCTATCTAATTTATTATTGTCTTGATCAAGTATTTTTTAAAGTTATAGGCTTTGTGGAATTCGAGGATTGATACTGCGATGTAGAATTATGGTTTATCTTCTTCTCTATAATATGAAAGAGTTGTAGCAGTCAATGTAAAACAGAAAATTTGGACAGATAAAATGGATTAAAACATTTCCTTTGATCAGAACAAATGAGAAGAGATGCGTATGAAGAATTTGATTAATCATCTTTGTGATGACATGAAATGTGTATTAACGATGCATAAAACTGCCTAAATTTTAACTGTCAATAATTCCTTTATAAATTACTCTGCTTTGAAGTAAAATGGATCTCAAATTATGGAAAATGGTGCCTATATTGTTGTTTTCATTGGAAAAGTGTATATGTGGTGTGTGTGATGAGAATCATGGAGCCTTCCATGGTGATTCTTCTAATGAGGCGAATGAGCTAGTTCTTCATTCTAGTTTTAGAATCCCAAGTTTACTTTGCAGGCCAATCAAGGAAGAAAGGATGGATCTTGACAACCTATGTGATAGGGAGTTGGTTCAAGAGAGCCATGATCAAGGTGATGAAAATGTCATTAACTTTGGGGTTCAAACCAAAGGAGATGATTCACTCATGGAAATAAGTGCTCAAGAGTATCAAAGGAGTTTGACTCTAGGTGCTCCATGAAGATCATTGATCAAGCTAGAGAGAAGAGTCATTTAGGTTCTTCAATGGACGGCCTATTTGATTAAAGTGTTCAAGATTGAGTCCATTGCTACACAATTGGATAGATTGCAAACTATCTCAATTGTTTCAAGTGTTTTTCCAATCTTTTGGAGTCAATAAAGAGAATTCTACAAGTTTTGCAGTAAATTGGAGTTTTCTATAACTTAAGGGGCGCAAGACCAATATTTCACTTTTAGAAGGGCATTCAAGATATTTTACTTCAATATTTTGGAGCTGATTTTCGGATTTAGAGTTTGTCTAAGTCTAGGAGTTTAATTTTCAAATTTATCTAGTTAAATAAATCATGTGGACTGAATTAAACTAGAGTGTTTTGATTAGGAGTCTTAGATTCTTTCTAAGTATTATCCTATTTGAGGATAAGTCATTTAGATAAGGTTTCCTGGATTTTAGATAGAGTCAAAGAGATCAAATACTCTTCTACTTCTACTCCTGCGTGAGATAAGATTAGAGAGTTCTAGTTGGTCTTCTTTTTTTTTTTTTTGGTGCTGGCCGAAATTCATAGCCTATAAATAGGGAGGATGGTCGAAAATTAAAGCACCCTTGAGTGGTCATTTTTGTTGTCTCTAATGAGAGTTTTTCCTGTGAGGAATTTTTGTTAAATGAAGTGTCCATTTTTCGTGTCAAGTATGATTTAACCAATAGAGTTTTCATCTTGTCTTGGATCTTTTGATCTTGCAGAAACTATTCTTTTTCAAGTATGCTTCTTGATAGAATTGTTTTAAAACTAAACTTCTTATTTTCATACTACTTCTAGTAGTTCGATTAATGAGCCTTTCTTTTGGCTTGGTTTTCGAATTCATGATGTGTGTGTTCATGAGTTCCATTGTGGGGTTTGTCCTACTTTTGTTGGATGAGTTGTGCTTTGGCATAAGTATTTTGTGCTTTATTGGTTATGGAGATTACTAATCAATAGTATTCCTTCATAGTTGAACATTGTTTGCTCCTACCTTTCTTGAGTCTCTTGAATGATGACTGATCGAGTATATTGAATGGTGTCCTTACTATTTTTAGTGTGGGTTGTTGTTTAATTCGAATCTTTCATGGATAATGTGTTCTTTGCTTGGTTTGAGTTAAGAGATAGAAATCCTTAGATAAACGATCGTCTTACTGTGAATTTTCCACACGCTTTTGAGTTTCACGGGATAGACAAATTATCTTTGTACTTTCTTGTTTGATGGTTGCATTAATGAAATTTGCTTCATTTACGTGATTGCTATCAGTTTCTGGTATAAGAGCTTGAACTATCTAAGTGATGGTATTAATTGATATTATCATATCAGTTTTTAGTATCAGTTTGATTGTCGAGAGATTTCTTTTTTATTGAGAACTTCATAGTTCTTGGTTTTAATTGAGAATATCTTGAGTTACCACGGAATCCGTTTCTTGGTGTGGTAATCGAGCTTTGTACTACTAACGAGTAGTACTATCTTTATTTGTTTCAAGGTTCCTTCTTGTTGCAGAATGGGTTTGAAAAATAAATCAATTCTTGTAAAAACTACATTTTCAAAATTGATCTTGTCTTTTGTGTGGTTGTGCGAGAGTTCTTACACATTTGTTTGATCTTGTGGTGTTATTTTGAGGTCTATGCGAGAGCTTGATGATGGTACATTGGTATCTAGTCAAAGTGGGCGCTACATCTTGAAATTTATCCTTGATTTGCAAGTAGAGA